AGCCCTAATGGGTTGGTGTCTTACGAAATCTCAGCACGGATTCAAAAAGCTCGTTTGACTTTTGCCAACTTACGTCACATATGGTGAAGACGAGATATCCGTCTATCAATTAAGGGACGAGTGTACTGCACAGCGGTTCGCTCTGTTCTATTTTATGGCTGTGAAACGTGGCCATTAAGAGTAGAATATACTCATAGGTTACTAGTGTTTGACCACAGATGCCTTAGAAATATTGGTCGCATTTGCTGGGATCACCGGGTCCAAGTTGTCATATCTCGTTAGCACAACAAGATGAACAACAAATTCATAGAAGTAGTTAATTTAGTGGTGGTTATATATAAAAGCAAATTTCCATATAAGAATATAGTATAGAAAGAAAGACAAATATGAAGCAATTTTAATCTCAAGGTTTAAGGGAAGCTAAAGAGTGTATACACCTACGTCATTGTGATCGATTCTAAGGCAAGTCACCTAGACTCTCCAATCACTGGTTACAATAGTCATATGCACATCAACCAAGTAGTCTGCATCTGCCAACATGGCTCAGATTAGAAGTTAGTGACTTTGTGGACTGATGCCACGTTTTGGTTTGGCCACACCTAACTTTCTTCCAACCATCCTCTACACTAGTCAGCATAGCGCGTCGTGGTAATCGGTGTTCAGGCATAAGTAACACGTGTCCCAACCATCTCAGTCGATGAAGATTCATCAATTCATCAACTGATTTACCATCATTCTCTAATACCCTGTGTCTAACCTCACTATTACTTATCCGGTGACCCCAGCAGATTCCAATGTTGGCTAAACTGACTCGGCATTTTATACACTACATTTAATGTTAGGTTGATTATTATTTTGTCATCAATTAATGTAGATGCGAGAGGTCATAAATTGCCTAAGTAACCCAACGATAACTTAAGTGAACACAATACGTTTTCTAGTGCTACAATGAGCAACTGATATATCTAGATTGCTGGCGAATGTCAGCTAGTATGAAGCATTGATCAAGCAGGGCACTCTGCTAATACTAAGTCACTTATGTTAGTAATCACACTGTAAAATGATGAGTAGAACTCGATTATCAATAAGAACTAGATAAACATCAGACAGGTCATTATTCAGTATTTAATCAGCAAAATCAACTGATGAACTTTAAACAATATGGAGAAAGGAATTACCTTTGCGAGTGTTTTACATTTCACGTTATCGTTTTTGTTAACAGTATTAACTGCATATTTAGATGCAACGAGACGCATTGACTAGTAGATTGATTTAACTTAAACTATTACATGTTTGAGATATAAATGATATGTAAACATCCACTTGACATTATTTATTTGAATCTTCCCATTGATGTTTAAGACAGCAATTAATCTGTCTCTTATTAGAATATGTGCATACTGTACGTATTGCCTCGATATAGGCTTAATTCACAAGCATTATAAGCAAAGATGGATAGTGGCTAGTAGTGGAAACCAGGATGCGCGTTTCGTGGGTAACGCGATGGCTTTTGGAGGGAAAGGTACTAGGTTGGAGTCCTAGAGTGAACATCAACTCTGAGATGTAGGTAAAGTCAGCTGACGAGTTCCAAATAGGACGAAGCGAGTGTTCTAGATCCCACTGCTAGCCACCATTCATCTTTGCTTATGATGTGTAAACAGTTTACAAACGGTAAAATTGTCTATGCTTTTTATCTTGTTACTTTAGTCCAGATCATATTGAAAGGCATATATTCAAGCCAAGTTAACACTAACTTTTGACTTTATAACCTAATCAGCTTGAGGTTCAACATTTTAAATGAAAACGATTTGATTAGTTATTTAACAATACAGCATTTAAAGTTATTACATTTTAAAAATGCGCATTAGTTCAAAAGCAAAGATGAATGGTGAGTAGAAGTGGAATCCTGGACGTGTGTGTGATCCTATTTCGGGCTCGTCATTTGTTTTACCTGCATCTTAGAGTTCTTCACTTTGGGAATCCATAAAATCAATATTTATCAACAATTCATTAGTTTAATTCTAATATTAGATTTATTTTATAGTTGTGTAACATAACCTTGTGCGCCAAGGTAATTTTGCATTGGTTTTTAGGAGAACCAGACACCATCCAGACTTTCACGTGACAACCGAAACAGTACAACTCAATCCCGTTTAACAAGAGAACCAGAAACTGCCCAGGCTTAACCAGAGCAGTACAGCTCAATCCCACACTACAAGAAGACCAGACACTATATGAGCTTCAACGTTACAATCTGAACAGTACTGTTCAATCCTGTGGAGCAACCACGCAGGTACCAAGCAGCCTGGTGGACCATTCGCACCATTCATATACACATTCACATCACATGTATAATTATTCCGTTCAGTGGTCGCGTAAATCATGTATACACAGCATCAACGGGTCAAAGTTGACCCATTCCGCTTACTCGACAGTCAAACTCATTACTGTTAGCAATGGCGACATGCCTTACAATGCTCCAATGACAGTAGCTCTCGAAAACACTGAAAAGGAACCATCAATATGAATGAAACCGGTTAACCAGCAAACCAACTTTTCACATGAACAGTCAGTAAAACTTTCCGAAGTAATGCCGAACTTCCAGTCTCACATAAGACCTTCAGCTCTACAAGGCAATATAGCTTATACTGCATACAACACATATGTAGGGTAGTTAGCGAAATAGCCCAGCCTGAAGCGTCAGGGCATAAAGAACGCTTAAAACCCGTTGTCTGGTGTCGGAGTACTAATACGAGACCACCAAGATAATTTTTATCGCATTTGCGAAATTTTCATTTCTCCGACTTTCCAGACCCTGAGTTAGGGGTGGTATCCCTTCTCATATTAAATACTTGGTGAAAAAATACATAATAAATTAGTTTATATTAGATAATGGTTGGAGGTAGTCGACAGGATATCCTGGACCTAGATTTCAAATTAATTTGCACTCGTCAATGAGAGTTATCTGTAATCTTGAGGAAATTGACGGATTGGATAATGTGTCACCTGGCTTCACAGCCACAGATTTTACCACTGACCTATTCTGTCAGTCACATCCAACTAGCACCTTATCCCAACACAGTGCATACGTTGTCGAGTCAATTAAACTAATGGTTACATTGAAATTTGATCGACAGAATTCGTTTTACACTAAAGAATGACCTGAAATACATGACATCAGTCCCTACCCAGTGACAAATCAATTGTAAATTAATTTATGATTTTAGGAACTATGATCATCTTAGTTATTCCGAAAATACAGATAAACAAATCAGAAACAAGCATAGAAGTGTATCAATCCGAGTTAGTACAATGAAGTGAAATTAACAAGATGAAAATCGAATGTTCTGAAACAATCATACTTTTACTATTGGAAAATTAAGTATCATAAAGCAGTTCACAATGAAAGAATGTATTGAAAAGTATAAGATAATACCAAGATCAAGGTTTCTTAGAAAAATGCAACTGTGTTACTGTGATCAATTTCCTGAGACACAACATATCTTCTACCCTGAACCAGTGAAATTCACACTTGTCAACAGGACTTAGTCTAACCGTCAGTGACTATGTTCGTTTACCCACTGCCTACTATGACAACCATATCCAGATGATGTTGAGACATTAAGGGTAACATGAAAATGGTCAAAATATTATATTAACGTAGACATAGTACCCAATTAGTTTGACGTTTAACGAAAGTTAATCAGTGATACTAAGTGTATTATGGTTATAAAGAATTGACTCAATACATTTGTGATAACGTTATATTTCCCACTCCAATGATTCACAGAGATCCAATGTTTATTATTATTACCTTGAAATAGATGAATACCAAACATTATTCTACGGTTGCTTCAACAGTATTTGGAACCCTCTGTAGCAATATATAAAGCATTAAACTATCTAAATATTTTCATAGTTGATATCATGAGTCAATTGAAACTGGACCACCATGGAAAACCTGGAAGCACTGGACGGCCGTTTCGTCCTAGTATGGGACTCCTCAGTAGTGTGCATCCAAGATCCCGCCTCGCGAGATTCGAACCCAGGACCTATCAGTTTCGCGAGCGAGCGCTTAACCTCTAGACCACTGAGCCGACATCCAACAGTGTTAATGTCTGACTTCAAGCAATCCACAAAACCCCCTTCTGATCATTCAAATTTAGTCAAGATGTTTAAAATTTGTTAGAATAAGTACTTTTATAAATTTGAAGAATGTTGGATCAATTATTTATTGTCAATTATTTACTAATCATAAACACTTATAGAATATTACTAAAGTATTTATCAAATATTAAATATTTAATATCAGAAGGGGTTTTGTGGATATTATAGTAATTTTAATAGTTGAGATTATAAATTAATTGAAGGTGGACCATCAAGGAAAACCTGGAAGCACTGGCCGGTTTTTTCGTCCTATCGTGTGACTCCTCAGCAGTGATTCCAAGATTTCCATGGTTATCTAGCTTCCATTGATTCATGATATCAACTATTAAAATAAATATTTACTCAACAGTGCAATCGAATTCGAACGCAAATTTCTTCCTTCCATATAAAAAGTATTCACTATCTGATAAATGGCTCAAAAACGAACAAAGTTTGAACCAGTTCATCAATTTGTTCATAAAGTTGTTGACTTCAGCTCTCAATATGGAGCGAAAAGTAGAACTAGATTTACACCGGCAAATATTATTGGTACTTGTAAAGTATATTCAAATTATTATCATTTCAACGTAACATTCTCTTTTATTGTGATATCTCAAAGGATATAATAAGCTAGTAGAAAAATCCAAGAACGAACAAAATACCTAGAGAATACAAAATTTTCACACTGAATTATCAATACATGGAATCTACTGCCTAAAGTAGTGGTTTCCACATCTTTATTATAGAAAATTTAAAAATATTAAGACAACCCCCCTTTGGAGATAAATAATATCTTAGATACCAAAAAAAAAAAAAAAAAGAATCAGTTATGTAATATAAAACATGAAACTAACTTGTAACCAATTTAAATTTGTTAATGAATCATCATATTCTTCCATATTTATACAAAATTCATTAGAATGATTACGTGTTAACCAATTTTCACGTAATTTTTCAGCTAAATAATCACTTGTATATTCAAACATCATTTTCTTTTTTAATAGTTTTTTTTTTTATTTAAAAAAAAATCTGAATAAAATAAACAAAAAAAGAAATCCAAAAATTTATTTGTTTATTTTTCTTTATAGAATGTTTTTTTTTTGTTTTTCTTTTATTTCTTTTATCATTATAAATAATGATAAGTATTAATGACAATAATCAATTATTGATTTTATAGATTAGTATTAATTTTTTTTTTTTAATTATTATTAAAATTAAAAATTTTATCGATTTAAAATTGATTACAATCATTTAATATTGTTATTTTTAGAAATTTAATTGATTAGTTTCTTTTTTATTGAAAACAAATATATATTGTGTCTAGTAGTGGAATCCAGTTTGATGTAAGTTTCGTTCGATTTTGAATTTGTTAGCTGGATATACTTGCATCTCAGAGTTGATGTTCATTCTGTTACTTCAACTCAATGATATTCGTTTCAAATATCATCATTTTATTTATTTAGCTAGTTAGTCCTGATAGCCAGTTGCTTTTGGAATAGGGTGAAGTTTAAATTCACTAGGTATTGTTTTATTTGTATTGTTCCATTGATGTTTAGGACTGCAAATGGTCAGTATCTTATTGGCATACGTGTATACTATACCGACTGACTTGATATAAGCTTAAGCAAAGATGAATAGTAGTTAGCAGTACAATCTGAAACACACATTTCATCCTATTTGGGACACGTGAACATCAACTCTGAAATGTAGGTAAATGTAGTTGATAAGTCTCATATAGGCTAAAATGCATATCCTGAACTCCATCACCGGATACTATCCATCTTTGTTTAAAGTATATTGTTTTTAGAAGGGGATTTGTGGAGATTTCAGTATTTTTCAAAGTTGAAATCATGAGTCAATTGAAGCTAGACCACCATCGAAAACCTGGAAGCACTGGACGGCCGTTTCGTCCCACTATGGGACTCCTCAGCAGTGCGCACCCACGAACCCACTCCAGCGGGATTCAAACCCAGGACATACCAGTCTCGAGCCAGAGCCCTTAACCGATAGACCACTGAGCTGGCATCCAACGGTGTTAATGTCTAACGTCAACTGATCCACGAAGTTGAGCAACGATTCATCGATTGTCTTCAGTGAGTTCCTATCTCACGACAGACGTGATTTGAACTCCACTGGTCACTGCTTCTCACTAGACCTGCAGGACATGTATCTTGAAGTCAGTCACTAATGAGCATATGATTATAATCAGAATGGATTTTGTGGAAATTTCAGTATTTTCATAGCTTTAATTGACTCATGATTTCAACTATGAAAATACTAAAATCTCAACAAAACCCCTTCTAAAACTATCATGTCTAAACTAGGTATTGATACCTATATTAACGATAATGATTACGTTCTGTTATAAAGTCACTGAAGATTCAAACTTGATCTAGTAGAATTCAACTTAGTGAATAAGTAATGTTATATATAATTATCTCCATAATATAAAATCCAATGAAAAATTTTGTGTTTATACACCATTGAGAAATTCTAAACAATAACTCATTTAAAACTGTTGTTTATCACTTTTTAATTTTTCAATTTGAACTTATCTCTATGATTCATTAAATACAATCAAATGCATATTTTAGATTTATCTATTTAGTCTTTTATAAGCAAACATGGATAGTGGTTATTAGTGGAATCCAGGATGCACGTTTCTTTCTACGCGGGACTCGTCAGATGGATGTACTTGAATCTGAGATTTGACGTTCACTCTGGAATTCGAACCAAGTACAGTTCTCTTCAAATGCCATTGTGTTATCCACTTACCTACTGAGTCCTCATAGCCACATGCTTTTACAATGGAGTGAAGTTTAAATTTACATGTTATTTTTTACTTGTATTGTTATTTAGGATTGTAATTGATCAATCTCTTCTAGGCATATGTGCATATGGCAAAAGCAAGTGGGTATCAGGACTCAGTAGCTAAGGGGATAACGTGATTGAAACAAACGGTATTATGTTCGAGTCCCAGTGGGGACATCAACTATGAGATGCAAATACATCCAGCTGACGAGTCCCAAATAGGACGAAACGCACATCAAACTGGATTCCAGTGCTATCCACTATCCATCTTTGCTTCTATTGCTTGTGAGTTAAGGATATATGAAGACAATACACACACTATGCACAAATGTCAATAAGAGACTAATCAATTACAGTCCTTAAATAACAATAGGATCATACAAGTAAACAATAGCAAGTGAATTTATCTAATCTTTTATTTATCTATCAATCAATGTATATATATATATATCTATATATACAAAACAATAAATAGCAATATACAAAGGAAGTTATTTCTTAAAAATTCTTATTTTTTTTAAATTTTTAACAAAATAATAAATTTTCTTATCTCTTTCTATTTGTTTGTTATTCTTTTCTATTTTTTTTCTTCTTTTTTGTTTAACAAAAAAATTTTTTTTCTTGTTTTTAAAAAAAATAGTTTTTTTTTATTTTTTTCATTTTTTCATCGTTTTTCTTCTTTCTTTTTTCTCTTTTTAAATATTATTAGTCAATTATTTCAATACACATTAATAGTATAAATGATGATAATAATTATACTATGCCTATCATTGTTATTGATAACCATTACACCAAGCATAACAACAAGGATAATAGAAATAGAGTTTCGAATGACATACTGTTATAAGTATTATGATCGTTTTCTTTATTAGGATAATAACAATAATAATAATAATGAAGAAAGTAATAGTAGTGGTAATAGTAGTAAAGCTACTTTTATTACTATTGTATAATAATAATAATCTTAGGCGTTACTTATTCTCATTACATTTTATGTACTTTTTTCAAGATACATTTGTATTCATGACCTTTAATAATAAATAGATGTAAAGATGAATGAATACAGTACATGAGTACCATCAAGAGTATGTGTATTTGTACATATATGTATTTGAAAGAAAACACACACACACAATGAAAAAAGGAAGAATATAAGAAATACTTCCCTACCCTAACCCCCCCCAAAAAAAAATATTGTTTTTTGTTTCTATTTATTATTTCCGTTTTTTTTGCTTTTCATATTATTTTTTTTAGTTCCTATAAGGTAAGTTTTACCATTGAAGTTATTATTATTATTGTTATTATTATTATTATTATTATTTCAATGGTTGTACTTAATTGTTAATGAAAACTAATGAATTTGTTTAACCTAATGGAATAAAATCAAGATTGTATTTGACATTGATTAAATAATTGAAAGTGTGAGTCAGTTGAAGCTAGACCACTATGGAAAATCTGGAAACACTGCTTGACGGCCGTTTCGTCCTATTGTGGGATGCGTACTGCTGAGGAGTCCCAGAAGAGGACGAAACGGCCATTCAGTGCTTCCAGGTTTTTCATGTTGGTCTAGCTTCAATTGACCCACACTTTCAACTATGAAAATTGTGACTTTATTCATTGTTATATATTTTACTGTAGTAAAGAGTCCTGACTACCAAAAGTATAATATCACGGCATATTTAGTATAAACTGAAATTATAATTACTCTAAAATATACATGACATCTTTCTTTCATTAATCAGTCTCTGACACAAATCTTCAACCACAGAAATTTTCTATCATTTCAGCTGATACAATTATTTTTTTCATCTATCATACACAAAGGGATAATATACAATAAGGGAAATATATCCATTAATGTAGTACTTCCACTTTGTTGTATTGAGCATAGTAATATTTTGTCGGTTTTTCACAATACACCTAGAGTAAACATAGTTAATTATTAGAACGGCTTAATTTTAAAAGAAGATAAATAGTCCAAACTTTTGATCTAAGCCAATGAAATAAATTGTATTTCTGGATATAATTATAACAATCACAATTGATTGATCACTGGGTGATGATCAATGTCATGCTCGTCAAGTCCTTCGTAGTGTTGATCGAATACTATTGATCAGGATGTTGGTCGTGGCCCGAATAGCTCAGTGGTAACGCCTCTGACTGTGAAGCTCAGTGACACGGGATCGAATTCATCAGGGAACACCAGTTACCTCAAGATTACAGGTACACATTGTTGACGAGTGCCAAGTAGCACGAAACCCGGATTCAAGGTTTCCTGTTGACCACCTCTAACCACCATCTTATAAGTATAACAATCCATAAAAATCTAACTACAATATCAAAATCCATTGAATTATCAAATGTACTTGACTCTTCAGTTTGAAAATTATTATTCATTTTGTATCCATGACAATCAGTTGTGAATGAAGTTGAATCTTTGAATGTACCATTGGAATAAATAACTTTTCCGCATAAAATAAATGATTGTACTTTTTTTATTTAAAGTGTCATTAGAAATATCCCTAATATACATATAGTATGGTTGATAACAAATTTACATGTATCGTAATAACTGAGTATTGTTCTTTCTGTCATTTATTCAGGTCAAATTCCATTTTTCCATTCAATACCAAACATTCTATTCTCATTAACATTTTCTTCTATAAGAGATTATGGATAATCTAAATAGCAATACATATAACTACTTACAAGATTGTTTATAAGTAATATGTGACAGAATGTACTTTGGAAGCCTTTATAATCAACGGAGACGGAGACAAAAGTTTCAGATATCCAAAGCCGGACATAGGTAGAACACATAGAAACCAGAAGAGAACATAGTTTAGAACTAACAAGATAGCAGACACTATCAGCAACAACCTATTGTGAGAGAGAACAAACCAGATTCCAGTCGAAGAAGAAATCAGGAAGAAGCGTTGGAAGTGGATTGGACACTCTTTAAGGAAATTACCCAACTGTGTCACAAGACAAGCTCTCACATGGAATCCTGAAGGTCAAAGGAGAAGAGGAAAACCAAAGAACACATTACGCCGAGAAATAGAGACAGACATGAGAAGAATGAACAAAAATTGGATAGAACTAGAAAAGAAGGCACAGGACAGAGTGGGTTGTAGAATGCTGGTCGGCGGCCTATGTTCCATTGGGAGTAACAGGCGTAGGTAAGTAAGTTATCAGAATATACTGTTAGATGCTTATGAATGTTCAAAGACTATATATACACAATAAGTAAATATTTTGCAATTTACTAAATGAAATTCCCT